ATGTCAGGATTTAAAACAAGTAGGCACATGGAGATATTTTTGCTTATTTGTGGGTTTCTTTTTGTGGGAATAGTAATGGTAGAGAGAGAATTTCCTACCAGAAAGCCATACAAGTTTCCCTAGAAAAAGTGTCATTTCAGCCAACCAAAGAGGAGCGATGCGATTCTGGTAAGATGAGAAAAAAGAAATAAAGGCAGAATTCTTTGCACAAAAAAATTGACAAAGTAGAGTGTTGGCAGGAGTCATACTTGGGGGAGATATTTAGATCTGCAATCCATTCTGATTTGCTGCTACAATGGGCACATCGGCCAAGGTTACAGAAGACAGAAGATATCAGAGAAAGCCAGGCTGCCCACCTCATTCTGGCCTTCAATTTATGTCTCTACTTGTGTGTGTGTGTGTGTGTGTTTAATTTGTGTCATCATGTCCATCTACTTCGAATTTATGCGATTTTGTTGTATTCTGATTTTGATGTATGCATCCTTATAGGTTGTCTTAAATGTAGTTTAAATCTAAGTAGTGTCTATATTCCGTACATCAGAATGACTTGTGGGCCCAGCCAGTGTGTCTCAGTGGTTAAGTGTCAATCTATGAACCAGAGGTCACAGATTTGATCGGGGCACATGCCCAGGTTGTGGGCTTCATCCCCAGTGGGGGGCGTGCAGGAGACAGCCAATCAGTGATTATCTTTCATCATTGATTTTTCTATCTCTCTCTCCCTTTCTCTCTGAAATAAAAAAAAATATATCCTGCCAAAACCGGTTTGGCTCAGTGGATAGAGCGTCGGCCTGCGGACTGAAAGGTCCCAGGTTCGGTTCCGGTTAAGGGCATGTACCTGGGTTGCGGGCACATACCCAGTGGGGGATGTGCAGGAGGCAGCTGATCGATGTTTCTCTCTCATCGATATTTCTAACTCTCTATCTCTCTCCCTTCCTCTCTGTAAAACATCAATAAAATATATTTAAAAAAATATATATCCTATCTAATAAAGAGCTAATATGCTAATTAGACTGGACAGTGGAATGATCTTCCAGAATGACCAGTGGGCAGGTCCATGAGGGCCAAGCCCCTTGCATGAATTTCATGCATCGGGCCTCTAGTAGTTAAAAATACTGTATTATGTGTTTGAAAATTGCTAGGGGAATAGGTCTTAAAAGTTCTCGATTTTTATCGCCCTAACCGGTTTGGCTCAGTGGATAGAGCCTGGGCCTGCGGACTGAAGGGTCCCAAGTTTGATTCCACTCAAGGGCTTGTACCTTGGTTGTGGGCACATCTCCAGTAGGGAGTGTGCAGGAGGCAGCTGATCGATGTTTTTTCTAACTCTCTCTCTCTCTCTCCCTTCCTATCTGTAAAATCAATAAAAATATATTTAAAAAGAAAAAAAAAGTTAAGGTAAGACACCCACTGCACAGACGTCTCCGGTATCTATGATTCCTAATCCACTCTGGGGTGGGCTACCAGCTCCATTCAATATCTGGCTGCCTACAGACCTCGACGGCTCCCTATGTCTCTATGCACTGCAATTGCATTTGACTGTGCACAAATAATTAACCATCAAGCAAATATCCACAGGATTAGTCTGGCATGTTGGAACAAATCTTGATAAATCCGCCTCAGTAACAAATACTCCAAGTACAAGTGTAAGAGAAGAATACAAATTCGGCCTATTGAAGGACTGTCATGGAAGGAGAGATATTTTAATAAAACCGCTTCGTCAGTTCCTATTACTAAGGGACTAAAGCTATCGAGCTGTGGCACTGAGGCCAAAAAAAAGGGGGGGATTTGGAAATGCAAATGAGAGAGAAGACAGTCACAGATGCCTTTTATTCAGCCACACACTATCCCCGATGCCGGGAGCTATGTTCAAAGTGACTCTTAATAGTTCTGCATACATACCCAAAATGGACATCTCCGGCACAGTCGCATGATAGGGTCCATTAAGAAACTCTGGTGCGTTGTCGTTGATGTCCTGAACTTTAATAATAAATTCGGAAGGAGGCTCCAGGGGCTTGTTGGTCTCAAAGTCCACTGCCTGAGCTGTGAGTGTGTACTCAGCCTTTTCCTCCCGGTCAAGTCTCTTTATAGCGTGGATATCTCCCGTTATATCATTTATTTGAAAGATGGTCCCAGCTCCATCGCCTGACAGGATATACTTGATTTTTTTGCTCCCAGGATCCAGGTCTGTGTGCAGCTAAAATGAAAGGTGACATTGGTTAGCGATGCAACATTATTTTCTCTTTTAACTCCCTCCTGCTTGAATATCACATTGGTTCTTTTTGCATTCATTGGAACTTCATCAATCTCTGCAACCAGCAGCTGCACAAAGAGTCTATGCGACTGTGTTATTTTTAAAAATGTTTTCTTTATTGTTGAAAAGATTGCACATGTCCCCCTTTTTCCCCCACTGACCCCTCTACCCTGCCCCTGTCACCCCAGGCTTTCACTGCACTATATTATAGTCTGCATCCATGGGTTATGCATATATGCATACAAGTTCACAAATGTATTATTATAAATCAAAATAAAACATAATGAAATTCATACAGATAAGTTGGGATGGTAAGCAAAATAGTGACAGACTCATACATAGAGAGCAAGCTGACAGCTGTTGGCTGGGGTGGGGTGGGGGGGAAGGGAAATGGGGGTGTCGAGGGATTGAGCAAAAGTGAAAACCTCATGCATGCACATGGGCAGCAGTGTGGTGATCGCCAAGCAGGGCCAGGGTGGGGCTGGGGGACTGGGGAGTGAGGGCTGGAGGGAGGTAGAGGAGGGTATAGTGGGGATAAATGGAGATAGAAGGAGAATTGACTTGGGGTGGTGAACATATAATACAGTGTACAGAGGAAGCATAGAACTATGCACCTTAAATCTGCATAATTTTGTTAATCAGTGTCATCCCAATAAACTCAATTTAAAAAGACTTTGACCAGTTCAGTATAAACTGACATGCATTTAAAATGATAAAAAGATCAAGGAAAATATGACAAAAATGTACAGATTCTTTTCAGTTTCTTAATACATGTATTTAAAGTTTCTATCACTAGCTACCTTTTGGGTTCACTATTTGTATGCCAAGAACCATGCAAATCACTTCTCACATAATTCCCTTAATTTTTACCAAAAACTAAATGAATTAAAATATCCTATATGATAAAAGCCTAAGATGCAAATTGACCAAACAGCAGAATGACCGGTCACTATTATGTGCACTGACCACCAGGGGGCAGGTGCTCAATGCAGGAGCTGCCCCCAGTCCACAGGCCCCAAGCCGGCCTAGGTGAGTGCGAGTGGGAGCCCCCTGATCGCCCTGCCAGTCACCCCACAGATGGGCCTTGATCACCAGCCAGGCCTAGGGACCCTTACCCATGCATGAATTTCATGCACCAGGCCTCTAGTTTCATATAAAACATGAGAAAAAGGAGGTTTGACAAGGCACACAATAACCTCCCTGAGGTTCATATTTTTGAATGAAGTGTAGTAGACCCAGAATCCAACTCAGTTTTGCCTGCGGTATTTACAAACACAAAAATAATTCTAGTAATCTGATGCATATTAAAGTCTTATGTTTGTGCTCGGCCAGCATGGCTCAATGGTTGAGCATCCACCTATGTACCAACAGGTGTTAGATTCCCAGCCAGGGCACGTGCCCAGGTTGTGGGCTCGATCCCCAGTGAGGGGTGTGCAGGAGGCAGCCGATCAATGGCTCTCTCTCATCATGGATATTTCTTTTTCTCTCTCTCCCTCTCACTTCCTCTCTGACATCAATAAAAATATATATATTTTTAAATCTTATGTTTGTCTAGGACGTGTTTTACTTTGTCCCGTACAATTCTTCTGGTCTAGGAAAATTATTCCCATTTTATGAAGAGCCCTGCAGCCAGAACGGGGGAGCACGTTTTCTAAAAATGGGAACACTGAAAAATAACAACTTTGCAGCAGGGAACCAGGTCCATCGCAGGTCATGGCAACACACACTCATTGAACACCTGCTCCACCAGAAACGTGATGGTAGGTACAGAATTCCTGGCTTTAAAATGTTCAGTTTACTCTCAAGAAGGAGACAGGCATGTTCTGATACATGGTGCTTCTTTTAATACTATGTTGACTCCTGTTTGTTAGTTGTTTTTTTTTTAAATAAAATAAAATAAAAGATGAATTTATATTTTTAGTTTGTTTTTGTTTGTTGTTTTTTTTAAAAAAGGAGGGCATTGAATTATAGTTGGAAAATACCACTCAAGTGCATGTTTTCAGTTTAATGCAGTTAAATAGCAATGTAGTTCCACTTATCACACCATGAGATTTCAAATACTTCTTCCTTAAGAAAAAAAAAACACACAAAAAAACTTCTTCAAAGAAACTCTTAGAAACTCAAAAGATTGTGTTCTCTTGGGATCACTTTTATTCAGAGCAATCTCCGTTGCTTTCTTTGCCAATTTAAATTGTATTTAGCGCTTCAATAAATGAAAAGAAAAGATTTGTTCAAAAAGACATAAAGCAGCAACAAAGAGTTCAAATGCATCTAGATCTCCTACTTTGCTTTTGAATATTTTAAAAAGTTAAAGCCTAAGATTACATCAAATATTTATTAATCTCCAAATGTATCCCTTTCATTTATTGTATTAAATTTATTAACAAGAGCAAATATTGAAATGCCACTTTATCTTAATGAATGTGGGATTATAATTCATTAATGTGATATTAATCCTAATTTATGATCATTTTAATTTATGTGCATTTTAACATTTCCATTAGCATTTTTATTAAAAAAAAGGATATTTGAATAATATATCATTCTTGGAGGTTTCCATTCACATACAAAGCATTCCTCAGACACAGAAGGTATGGGTATGATTTGCACTTAGCCACAATATATTTTTGCTATTAAAATTAAGCCCCTCGTCCTGGCTGGTGTGGCTCAGTTGGTTGGAATGTCACCCTTACACCAAAAGGTTCGGATCCAATTCCCAGTCAGGGCACATACCTAGGTTTCAGGTTAAATCCCAGCTGGACATGCATGGGAGGCAACTAATTGATATATCTTTCTCACATCTATGTTTCTCTCCCTCTCTTCTCCTCTCCAAAAAAAAAAATCAATGAAAACATATCCTTGGGTTAGGATTTAACTTTTTTTAAATTAAGCCCTTTAATGGTGTTATCATTATTATGTTGGAATTTATTTCTGCCATATTTTTCTTACATTTATCAATTAGTAAATTAGTATTATAATCTTAACCAAGGTTTTAAGGGTCCCTTGTCTTTAGAAATAACTGAGCGAGAAGAAGAGAAGAACAGTGTTGGGAAGAAAAGCACAAAGTTAAGATTCTGGTCCCTCTAACTACATGAACTGGAGAAATTAATACACTTGTTTGTGCTTCCGTGGCTCTGCCTATAGCGTGGGGATGAGACATCTACCCCGAACAATTGACTTTAGAATCTGATCTAACCTATTTGAAAAATAGAGAAAAAGGGAAGCAGACGTGTTAAATGTGCAATAACTAAAATCATTTAATTTCATACCATATTCCGCCATAATCAGGTATCAGAAAACACTCTGCTAAGCCTCAGTGAAAGCAAATTCCCGAGACTTCATGAGAGAAAAGACAAAAAAAAAAAAAAAAAAAAACCCACGGGGAACACGATATGATTCCTCTTCCTTCCGAAAATTCATTTTTAGCAAGTCTCAGTAAAATCCAGATCCGTGGGCTAATGGTAATCTTGAAACCTTGGCACGTGGCTTGTTCAAGGAACCAGTTTGGCATTACAAATAAAAGAGTGCCCTAACTGGTTTGGCTCAGTGGATAGAGCACCGGCCTGCGGACTGAAGGGTTCCAGGTTCGATTCCGGTCAAGGGCATGTACCTTGGTTGCGGGCACATCCCCAGC